TGCTATTAGTTGTTAAATCATCTTAATCGACCTATGGTCACCAAGATATTGTCCAAAATGTGTTTATAATGACAAAAGCTGCTCGCATCTAATTTTTTTGTCCCTTTAAACACTTTAATAAATTTAACACTAAACTAAATAAAGGAACCTCTTTTTGGCGCCAGCATTCATGTGCCTAATAGTGGCAATCTTTGAGCTTGTTTAAGGCGATAATTTACATTTGAAAAGTTGCTTCCCAACTATACTGGAGGACAGATTCAGTCTTATTTCAACCTCCACCCCTTTCTCAGTGATCATGCTACTATTTTCCAGCCTTGAGTAGTATTAGATTGAAACAAATATTAGTGTGGCACCGATAGTATGTTAGTTGAGAGAGCCTAGCGTTTTTGTAATGGCCACTTGTGTATGCTTTGCCATGCCAATTTTGTGTACTTCACTATGTCTTCATTGTTGTAGGTGAAATTCTTCAGCTCAAATATAAAAGCGGCACGGATTAGGCGTGAAAATTAAAACATATTTAAGTAGAGTTTCGAGACTACCAGTAAATCAGTAATATGAGATGTATTCACCCAATTTAATACAATTTTACCACAATTATATGAGTTGAGCTGACGTTTACATTAAATTTTAAATATCCTTACTTTCCCAAAAGTTGTTCTTATCCAGGCTTAAGTGGTCTGCAGTTTCGACCTCGCATCGGTCTTATCAACACCGCCAACGGGATTCGAACCATGACAGTGCAGAATTGGCGCTTGACACGTTAACCACTCAGCCACATGGCCACGAGTACCTTTGATTCACAGGGTGGATGTGAATTTTAAGGAAGGCCAGGCCTTTTCCCATACATTTAATATTACTGATTTACTGGTAGCCTAGAAACTCTACTCACATACGAAAAATAAATAACGTAGTCGATTGATATAGCAAATATACGTTTGCTTCATCGAAAATCCCACAAAGTATAGGATATGGCAAAAGGGCTGACCTTCCTTGAAATTCACATCCGCCCTGTGACCCAAGGGCACTCGTGGTTATTTGGTCGAGTGGTGAACATGTCAAGCTCACATTCTGCACTGTCATGGTTGGAATCCCGCTGACGGTGTTGATAAGACCGATGCGAGGTCGAAACTGCAGTCCACTGGTGTCTGGATGAGAACAACTTTTGGGAAAGCAAAACTATGTGAAGTTGAATGGAAACGTCAGCTCTACTCATATCATTGTGGGAAAATTCGACTACAAGTCCTTCATCCCCTTAAACAAAATTGGCTGAAAATTAAAGCCATGAAACCAAGCCCTGGAATCAAGGCAGGATGCATAAGCAAATGGATGTTGTCCCATAAAAAAGTTTGCTCCTTTATCACAAACTCTCGTGAGCAGAGAATCCGACGTGTGTTTTGACAACCCCATTAAAATACTCCCTTCTGCCAAACACTCATACAGACCAGATATGAATGAGGAGTACCAAAAAACATGCTTACACGAAGGCTGGTTGAGACATGGATCACGACGTTGTTGTATAGTCCCTAAACCTCAGAACACTGAACTGAGTAGGTCCTCGAAAGGCTGCTCGGTTCTATGAATTGAAGGACTACGTCTGACCCTCAGACCCAACTAACCTCAGGAAGCTGTGGAGCTAAAGGCAATGACCAGAATGCTCAGGATACAGAATGCCCAGCCTAGACTACATTTTATGCCTACTTTCCGCCACAATTATCCTTAAAAATTCTAGCCTCATCGCAACTCATCATTCAGCAGAGCGATCCATATTTGGTCCTGGATTTCCACCCACAACGATCGACATCGCTTCCGAGGATGCCAATGATAAGTCACCTCGAATGTGCAAAGTATGTAGGCCGGAGCCTGACGCTTCAGTAGAGGCATATATTTTATGGGTTACTGCATTTCTGACCTTGAAATGCCGAGTCCGACGTCAATCCTCAGGCAGTATTGCCAAATCTTCCAGTTCCCAGTTTGCCAGAAGCTCGATTGAGTCTAAAGACCGCCGGTATCAAACGAAGTGTTGTTTCTCCCCTGGATTATATCAAAGCTTGTCATTTCTCCCGACCCAGCTTAAGCCTGCCTTCTGCCTAGAGACGGTCTTATTCCCAAGTGAGCAATTTTGTCGAATTTACAGCGGACAGACGTTGCCTCGTTCTGGTGGTGCAACGTTCAGGCAGCGTATAGCCTGTGGCAACCTTTTATGCAAGTTTTAAGCCAGATCTTTACAGAAAGCCTGAATGTGTACTGAAGAGTCTGATCATCATCAGCCGGTCCAGTCACTGCCGATTAAACGGGACCCTTCACTATTCGTAATATCAAGTACCAATTTGACGGACTTCGAAATAGCGAATCAGGCAATATTACAATTTTATGAGATGTATTCATTCTATTTCGTTTACAGTGATGAAGGACAGGTAGTTAAATTTTCCCACAATGATATGAGCTGACGTTTCCATTCAATTTCATAGTCTTGCTTCCCCAGGTTGAAGTGGACTAAAGCTTCGACTTCGCCTAAGTCCTAGCAACACTTCCAACGGGACTCAAAACATGGCAGTGCAGCGTGTAATCTCGACATGTTTACTCTCCACCACATTGCCATGAGTGACTTTAGATCACAGGACAAAGTTAATTTCTCCTATATCACATTATGTGGTGAGAGTGTTGATGAAGCAAACTTATATTCATTATTAAACTCGACCGCTAGTCTCAAAACCCTACTTCTAAACGGAAAATATTAAAGGTATGAAGACCAGGATGGTGTGGCCTTTTGTTTGATCTTGGTTTTGCAACTTGGTCATATTGGCAAGAGGACCTAGAGAATTGCACCTTGTCCAGAGTCCATAGTATGCATGAAAATGTCAAAGTTTATCAACCTCACGCTAAATGGGAGTTTGAAAATACCTAATTCTTAATGGTATTATGTTATTTCCTTCTTTTCAACTTCTTAGTTGCGAAAACATATCCGATTTGGTAAACCTCGACATGAAGCAGACACAAGATGGCTGCAAGACAAACTTTTGCTGGAATGAGAGATGGTTTCCTCCCAGGCGATGGAATGATAGCTAAATTTTTCCGCAATCAGATAAGTAGGTTACATGATACCAATCAATTGCATTTGGCCTTGCCCCCCAAAGGTATTCTGGACTGAAATGCATTTCTGACCTCGCTTACTTCTCATCAGCCCTTTCAGTGGGAATCGGATTATAGAGCAGATGCAAAGTTTAGGACAAGTCAGGTCTCCCGCATATCACATTTTTGTGGTGAGACTGTCGATTAAGCAAACTTGTATTGAACATTTTAATCAACGCATTACTTACATCCGTATTGAGTAAGCTTCAAAACTACCAGTATTTCTAGAAACATACTCGGTACGAATAAAACAGTTATTAGGTCGTTTTATTTGAGGCTAAATGATGCTGTTGAGCTTTACTTATCCTTCTCTTTCAAACGGTTTTATTATCCATACTTTACTATATTTTAGTTTCCACCTCTCTTGGATCACGTCAGAAGCCCCGTGGGGTTCCAGCTCGGGTCGTGAGCACTCTAGAGACAAGTTACCACACTGGCACACAGTCACGGGTGCTACTTGTTCCCAAAGCATATGTGGTTTTAGGAACAAGAATGGCCTCTATAAAATCGCATTTACACAGGAATTGCAGATGATGCAATCATTTGTTTTCAATAACAATCAACAATGCTAGTTATATTTAACACGAGTCCGTCTGTAAACTCATCTAAATTGATTGAACTCGTAGTCAAGCGTTACCAGTTACTTCCAAACGCACTTATGATAAATATAAACTGCCAGTAACAATAAATTATTTCAGAAATAGGGGTCCGTGCTTAGTTCGCTTTGTATACTGCGTGTGCAGCCCTCATCCAAGAAGCTTGCCTTCCTAGCCTTAAGGTTCTGGTCAACTTTCATAAAGACAAGATTTATCACAAACCCATCCATTTATGAGATTAAATGAGAGTTATCCTTTGGTCTGCCTCGATTCATTATCTTAACCGTGGTCAGGTCAGAAGAGGATGACACGCTAGTAATTGAAGCGATTCAGTTGGCTTGCCAGTAAAACCCTCTTCCTACCTGGTAGAGACGAGGTAGGTGGTTTTGTAGGTAGCCGAATATAAGTATAAAAGTCTACAAAAGGCTTGAAGGTCTCCCATAGATTTTATCCGAAATTAGGGTGGCCTAGACACACTTGCCAATACCAGCGCCATTGGTGATATCACCGATATCAATCGTCCAAAACCATTAATGCATAGGAAACTTAAGCCTATTAGTAGGAAAATCAAAGAGAATAAATAATA